ATATATATATATTAAACGATAAAGAAGAGGAATCCTCAGCGCCTTCTGCTGTCTATGCAGACGCCTATAACCAACTAGGCCATTGAGGCTTGGAAGTTCGAATCCGATTGGAGGCAATTCATTTCGCACTCTACGTTATGCCTATAAACTAGTATTTGATGCACACACACGTCAAACAGCGATCAATGCAATACGAAATCTTATAAAGCATTTTTTATTATATATTATTATATAAAAATTAGTGTTTCTGTTGTCAAACTTATCCAGGTGTAGTGATTTTTAGTGACATATTTTTTAATCAATTCATTTTGGCAGCATTGGTTAATCTTGGCGGCATCTACAAACGGCATTGACCAGTCGCTTTTGGATTGGGTTCCTCCCGGAAAACAAAATCAGACAATATTGAAATATCTAAGTAAGCATTTCTTTTTAAATATAGCACCTAACCGACACCGTTCAGTATGAGTAATGGAGAGCTAGCTTTCGATTGCACGACGGTAGGACGTAGAACGTAATGACGTCACTAAAAGTCTTCTGCACATGCGAGAACGTTAGGTTTTCCTCGTCACGTGGATTCTAGGACGCAATTTGGCCAAATCTACGAATGCAGAGAACGTAGGACGCCCGGCAGGATGATTCCGTTCTAGCGTCGCATCGTCACGCAAATCGGAAGCTCCCTATTAATTTAAGATATAAATAACTGTAATAGATTTGGCAGAAATATAGGCCTATAAAAATTGCAGGAGCGTAACTAAGTTTTTTTGGCACCCAGAGAAAGATTAGAATTGGTGCCCCTTCCCGCTTACGCTGTAGTGGCATACATTAATTATTGTATTTTATTATTTTGATATTATCATACCAGTCTGAACCCCCCTATTTAAAGTTATTAAAGATATTTCCTTTTTCTAAAATTATATTCACATCGGTTATATATATTGTATTTTCCTTTTAGTTAAGTTCTTATAATTTCCTAATTTATTTATTTATTTTGGTATATGACTTAATCG